TTTTTTAGAAAGATTGACATTCTTTAGTGCTTGTTCCATTGTAAAAATCCACTTAAGAACGCTTGTAACCTCTCTTTTACTTCAATTTATTTTATCTATTTGTTTATTTCTTTGCCTTGATTTTTGTCAAGAGTTATGGGTGAAACTCTTAGGATACCCTTACGAGAGCATACTCGTCCTCTAGAGCGATCTATGGGGTTTAAAGTGCTTGATGCATGCGCTAAATGCATTCGTGATTCCTACGAAAGTGAGTTAGTGTATATTCTTTCTCTTCTAGTTTTATTTTATTTTTATTTTTTTTTTTTAAAAAAAATACATCGTTATCCGTTGTGTTTGTTTTGTTTTGCTCGAGGATGAGCAAAAGTTAAGCTTGGGGGTGTTTGATGAGTGACATTTATGTTACCCTTAGGGGTAGTGTATTGGTCTCTTTTCTCCTGTTTTTCTTAAGTTTTTCTACCTCTTTTCACCTCTTATGGCTTCCTTTTTTTTTTATGGATGAAAAGTATGCTTATTTGCGCTTGTTTTGATAATCTTTATGCATAATTTTATAATCCCCATGCTCTCGTGATCTTTGCTATCTTTTGCAGGTTCCATGGCGGTCCTAAGCACGGTAGGAGGCCCCTTGGCCAAGTATGGAGGCATGGACAAAGACAAGAGGAGAAAAAGGGAAGGAGAGGAAGCAAGAAGAGGAAGTTCAAGAGGAGGTGTGGCCGAACCTCTAAGAGGTTCGGTCGAACCAAGGTGTGGTCAAACTTTTGAAAAGTTCGACCGAACCTCCAAGGCAGTTTCAACCAAGTTTTCAGCATGTTTACAGGAGGGGTCGAACCAGGAAAGTTCGACCAAACAAGGATCAGGGAGGTTCGACCGAACCTACCCTGAGTTCGGCTGAACCTACCCTGAGTCCGACCGAACCTACCCAGAGTTCAGTCGGACCTTTTCCCGTTTCAGCTGACTTTTTGCGGAGCTTCCTAAGCAATTTTGTAAGGGGTATAAATAGATTTTTTTTTTTTTTTGCTCATTTAAGAAAAAAGATTTTTTTTTTCAGTTTAGAATAGATTTTAGGTTAGTTTTAGGTTTTAGAGAGAGAAACTCTCAAAATTTTAGAGAGAGAAAGTGAGGAGCACAATGGTTTTCATGGATTTTGGATAATCAAATGAGGAATTTGAAGATCTCCATCTTATATCAATGAGCATTTCTTACTTTCTCTTCTCTTATTGCTTTATTTAGTTGCTTTCATTATGCTTGAGTAGTTTCCCTTCTACTAGGTGTTGAGTGAGGCTTTGTAATGATTATTTGAGTTATTTGAGATAAATTTGATGATAATTGTGTGATTAAACTGATTGAATTGATGTTGTCATGTTGTTTGTTTTAGATTGGATTGATCTCCCATGATAGCACACTTAATTGAATATTGGTTTTAGTTGGACAAGGGATTGTGAATTAGAATTGATATACTTGATTGCATTTTGGGTAATTTTCTTCTATGCACCTAGTCAATGAGGGATCTAGGCTAGGAATTTGAGAGATTACTTTTTAGTGTAGTTAATTCTCATTATAATTCTTTCTTTGCATGATTGATTGTCAAATGGATTCTCATTAGCTTATTAATTGTTCTAAGTGGATCTTTTCCCCTAGTAGACTTTATCATACCTTGTTCTTTTTATGTGTTTTAGTGTAGTTATAGTGTCCTTTATCCGTAAATCGACTTCGGCATAGCTTAGGCATTAGATTAAGAACAATCTAGCATTACCGTTCCTTGTGGTTCGACTCCGAACTTACCACTAGACTTGTTTAGTGGTTAGTTTTAGGATTTATAAATTTATTTTATTGAGTGTGGAATGTGCGACCGTTCTAACGCCCATCACTTCCCTAACACACAATCAATCCTATTCTCATGGTGTCATGCATATTAGAGACATTAAACACATTACTCTCACTTCCCAATTATCAAACCCAACTACTCTCGTGTTGAGAATCAAACCCTAAATTGATTTACTCAAATCCGTTTATACCCAACTCTCGCTGTGATAAAAACAATGGAATAATTGCAATACTATAGTTACGTATAACCTAGCATTGGCATAATCACAATCAATTTAGCTATTCAATTGTTAAAGTTGTTAAAGAATTAAAAGATTTAATTCATGCATCAATAATATTTGGGCTACACTAGATCTTGAATTAAAGAATCTACTCACACATGATTAAAGAAACAAAAACAATAATAAATAATGAAAGCATAATTAAATAACAAAGGATGAAAAATAAATACCAAATCTTGAATAAAAATTGAAAGTAGAAAGCTTGAATCTTGAATCTTGAATCTTGAATTACAAAAACTTGGAAAAAAATAATGGAGAACTAGTTCTTAAGGAGAGAATAATAAAATAAAATAAGGCTTAATGAATAGCCAAGAAAAACAAGGCTAAAAAGTATTTATATGAGCCTAAAAAGATAAGAAAAACGGCTAAGCATTGGCACACAAAAATCCCAGGAGGCACGGACGTGCCTCTAGGCGTAGCAAAATTCATTTAGCTTCTGTCTTCCAGGCACGGACGTGCCTGATTGCTGGGCACGGACGTGCCTTCTTCTTTCTCTAGGCATGGGCGTGTCACCTTGTTAAGCACGGGAATGCCTGTTTCTTTACCCAGGCACGGACGTGCCTAGGGTCTTCCTTTGGAGCAGCTTCAAACATAGAGGCACGGACGTGCGTAATGGGGAGGCACGGCCGTGCCTACCTCTAAAACGCCATTTTCTTGAATTTTCTTCAATCTCCAAACTCCATGGGCTTTGACTTACTTCATGGATCTATAATTCATCCAAATTAGCTCCATCATTCCTGAAAATCATTAAAAAAACAACAAAACTACCCATAAAAGCATCGGATTATCCAAAGTAGAGCAAAATACGCCAAAACGGACTCAAATACTCAACTAAACTAGCAAAACTAACTAAGACCAAGTCAAATAATATACACAAAACACAACATATCAAACTCCCCCAAGCTAAACTAATGCTTTTCCTCAAGCATTTAACCATGAATCACAAGGGAAGAGAATGATAACTCATCAAACAATCACAATGTGCCATTAAGTTCAAAACCACGATAAAAACGAAATCAAGAGTCAACATGCACAAAAACCACCATTCATCTCATATACTTGGCCTTGACAACCAATCTTACCACACATCTCCCCATACCTACTCTCACTTTAGTTGTGAAAAATAAAAACAATAACGCTCATGTGTTTACGGGGTGAAATATGAAGCCACTCAACCTAAGCATAGCATGCATATCAACTTCACATGACCAACCTCTTTAGGCTTGCAATGTGACTTTCTCCACTTTTAGTGATTGATGCAAATACGAAAATCATGAAATCCATATTAGGTAAGCTTGGTAAATAAGGGTTGGACGACGTATTTTGGGAATGTGGTGCTCAAAATAAAACAAATCCTAATCCCACTACACACTCAAATGTCAGGTTCAAGCCAACCTTATTTCCTCTAACTCCATACAATTATAAACATAGCCCTTTTATTCTTTCTTTTCTTTTTGTGTTTTTTTTTTCTTTTCTTCACAAAGAGGAAGGAATTAATAAAAAAAAAAAATGGAAGAACTCTCAATTTTTTCAAAGGCCTTTAAGGCCGCATTTCTTTTCTTTCCTTTCTTCCCTTTTCTAATATCCCTTCTTTCTCTTGTTTTCTTCCTTTTCACTTTTTTTTTTTCATTTTTTTCTTTTTTTTTTCATTTTTTCAACATCATTAACACTCTTAGGAATTAAAAAATGTAAAACAACTTCAAAATAAACCTAGAAAAATAGCTCTAAAGCTTTAAATGTAGGGTATCAAGAAGGGGTTAATATGGCTCAAATTGGTTCAACCTACGGGTGAATGTAAAATAAAAATATATAAAAACAAAAAGAAAAAACATGAAGGCCTAAAATGTGGAGGCTCTAATTCCTACAAGGAAATTTCAATCATCTTTTCGCGACATGCATCATAAAGTCTCAAATAGTCAAAAAGCAAGACCAAGAATTCGATTATATGAAGGACAATCTAATCACACAAGAAGAAACATGACTGAGGTAGAGTGAAATCAGTCAAATAAGGATCAAGACTCTCACCGAGTACACAAACTATTCACATAAGTAGAGCGGGGAGACCATCCTGGCCACAACCTAGCTCAAATCCAAGCACATCAATGAATGGGTTTTCAAAAACTCTTTTTTTTTTCAAAAAGCACACATATGTGATTATAATAATAGAAGCATAGTCATGCAGTGGCATATTATTCGACACTAGAAAGAAATAAACTACCCAAAAACTGAAATAAATCTAATATATACAAAGTTAAAAGCAAATCCTCCCCCAAGCTAAACCATACATTGTCCTCAATGTATGCATAAAACAAAGCATATAAACTAGGAGAAGGGAAAGCAAACTACTAATCAGGAGGGGTGGGGGGAAAGCCATACCTCGGGTCGGTGCTAGGACTGCCCTGGAAGTGCTGTCGCATCATGCCCCCGATGGCTTCGAAGGTTTGGGGTTAGGAGAGAGAAAGCTTCGAAGGTTTGGGGATGATTTTTTGTTTTTTTTTTTTTGAAAATAAATAAATAAAATAAAATAAATAAATAAATAAAATACGGAAAAACTGATGCACAGACGTGCCTCTCTAAAAATTCAACCCCCAAACTTTCTGCCTCAGAGGCACGGACGTGCCGCTGCAGATTTTGATTTTTTCTCCTTTTCCTTCTTCTTAGCGCTTTTCCTCCTTGTTTCTTCTTCCTTTTGCTTACTTTTTACCTAATTTAACACCACGAACAAAACAAAAACTAGACACAAGAATCAAAACAAAAAAAAAAAATTAAAAAAAAAATCAAGAAAAATAATGAAATTAAAGAGGAAAAATTAACGAAATAAGAGTAAGAACTCGAGAATGGGTTGCCTCCCATTTAGCGATTGTTTAAAAGGTTTTTAGCTCGACCTCCCTTGTTGGCTCAACCGGGATCATTACACGGAGGAGGAGGACCGCGATGTGGTTCATGAATTCCTCCAAGCGACTCTTTCATCGGCTTATTCACTTGCCTTATAATCGAATTCACCTTCATATAGCCAAACATGCCATCGGGTGGAACTTTATCCTTTCCTTTCACGAAATTCCTGTCAAACACATACCTATCAAATGGGGGGTTAGTAGCATCGATTCTCAAACAGGTACCACCATCGAACGTAGAGTTATGCCCATCAAGCACGGCTTTTTACAACCGTTGCGAGAAAGGCATCGGTTCATCATTGGCCGGTGGAGCTACATATGTGGAGCCTTGAACATCCTTGCTCTTTACGTCCTTTCTAGGCTCCTTGATGCACACCTTCTCAACAATTTTCTTCGGGAATAGTTCATATTTTCTCAGGAAGATAACATTGCATTGTTCTTTCTGAACCTTCGCTTGATCTTGAAGAGTCGATAGGCGGTTCACTTGTTGCGAAAGTTGGCTTATCTGATAAATAGTGTCTCCCGTAGAGGGGGCACCCATGACATTCAAAAGTGAGTATTCCAACTTTTCATCACCTACTTCAAAAGTGATCTTACCTTTCTTTATGTCTATGATTGCACCTGCAGTAGCTAGGAAAGGTCTACCAAGTATGATCGGAATATTCACATCTTCTTCCATCTCCATCACAACAAAATCACATGGAATGAAAAACTTACCTACTCTGAGGGGTATATCCTCAAGTACACCTAAAGGAAACTTCACTGACCTGTCTGCAAGTTGTAGAGATATTCATGTGGGTTTAAGCTCACCCAGCTGTAGCTTCTTGCATATGGACAGCGGCATAAGACTCACCCTTGCACCTAGATCGCATAGTACCCTATTGATCTTAATATCTCCAAGCTTCACTGGAATTGAATAGCTACCTGGATCTCCTAATTTCTTAGGGAGAGTGTTCTGCAAAATAGCACTACACTCTGCATTCAAAGCAACAGTAGTATTCTCTTCTAATTTCCTCTTGTTAGATAACATATCTTTTAAAAATTTTGCATAAGAAGGTATCTCAGATATGAAATCTAGGAATGGAATATTAATATGAAGCTTTTTAAGAATATCGAGGAACTTACTGAACTTTTTCTCAAGTTTAGCTTGTGCTAATCTTTGAGGAAAAGGAATCTTGGGCACATATGGAGCAAGTGGCTTTTGTGGTGTTTCCTTTGACCTCCTAAACTCTAGAATCTTCTACTTCCTTCTCACTTGCCTCTGCTTCTTCAATGACCTCCCTTGATGGCTCCTTGGTAGGAGGCTCTTCCAATTGCTTTCCACTCCTCAGGGTGACGACATTCATTTGGCCTTTTTGAGATTGTTCAGTCTGGCCCGGGAAGGTTCCTGGAGTCTTTAGGGCTTGGCTAAATTGGTTGGCCAATTGGCTTATCTGATTCTCCATAAGTTTACCCTGAGCCTGCAACTGTTGGATAAAGCTATTTTGATGTTGGATGGCACTGTTTGTTGCAGTTATAAAGCTCTCTAATTTCACCTCTAGGCTTGATTTCTAAGGTTGTTGTTGCATTTGTTGGTGGGCATTGGGTGTTTTCTGTTGGAAACCAGGTGGTGGTTGGTTGTAAGTGTTGGGTGGAGGTGGTGGAGGAGGGTTTTGTTGTTCTTGGGAATTTTTGTATGAGAAGTTAGGATGGTGTTTCCATCCTTCATTGTAGGTGTTGGAATAAGGGTGATAAGGTCTCTTTGGGTTAGAGGAGTAGAAAGCATTGGCTTGCTCGATTGACATCTCTTCCGCATTCTGCAAAATCTGTGGGCAATCTGGAGCAACATGACCCTACACATGACATAACTGACACAACTCCTGTGGGGTGTTAGAAGTTCCTCCTTGGAACTTATCAAACCTGCTTGTTAGTGCCTGTACAGAACTAGTTAGCATTGTTAAAGCATCAACATTAAGTTTACCTCCCTTTTTCACAGTGTTTCGGCCTCCAAGATGATAGTTATCATTGGCTGCCATCTTCTCTATGAGCTCCCTAGCTTCAGTGGGGTTCTTTGTCAAGAAAGAACCTACTGACGCAGCATCTATGTAAATACGGAACTCATGAGTCATGCCATTGTAAAAGGTCTGCATCAAAATCCAATCTGGAATGCCATGGTGAGGGAATTGTCTCTGAATCTTTTAAATCTCCTCCAAGCCTCAAAGAGAGACTCATCATCTGACTGCTTAAAAGTTTGTAGGTCATTCCTCAATCTTGCAGTCTTCTCATTCCCTAAAAACTTCACTAAGAAGGCCTTCACTAACTTGTCCCATGTATCGAACGAACTAGTGCCTTCATCTCTTAACCACTCCTTTGCCCTGTCTCGAAGTGAGAAGGGGAAAAGGCGTAGTCTGATTGCATCATCTGTAACACCATTTAACTTCATAGTGTCACATTTCTCCAAAAAACTATCTATATGACTTATGGGGCAATCATGTGGTAGCCCTGCGAATGAATCATTGGAGATGAACTGTATGAACTGTGGCTTGAGCTCGAAGTGCTGAGCCGTGACAGGTGGTCTTACGATGCTAGAAAGGATTCCGGTAGTCGTATCAGGAATACCGTACTCCAAAAGGGATTTCGTTGGTTGGTCTACCATGTTTCTCCTACGTCTGTTCCTTGTTCTCCTTCTTCTTATAGTTGCCTCGATCTCAAAATTAAATGGTTTAAGATCTTCTGAACCTGAGTGTCGTGTGGGCATGCACAAGAAAAACTAGAGAAAAGTATCAAAAACACAAGGGAAAATAGCCGAAGCAACGAAATAATCTTAGCAAAACGAATCACAAATAATCTAATGAAACCGTTAGTCCCCGGCAACGGCGCCAAAATTAATAAATGATAGGCGTGTCGCGTACCTATCAAAAATAACCTAACAGACCAATACTAATGTAGACTGGCAAATAAGGGTCGGATCCCAAGAGATTACGGTTCAGAAATAATTAAATAGGCTCGAATTTCTACTAGGCAAGAATCGATTATAATCAAGTACTTAAAACATCCAAGATGATTAAATCGAAAATAAACTAAATAAGATGATTAAATCAAGTACTTAAAACATCCAAGACCTAGTTTCACCACAATTATTACCGATGCAATTGTAATTCTACCCTTAACATACGATTTCAATTGAACGGGGAAAAGTAAACCCTAACAAATACCAAGGATCTCTCTCGAATATTAATGGCTTCCCTAACACACAATCAATCCTATTCTCATGGTATCATGCATATCAGAGACATTAAACACATTACTCTCACTTCCCAATTATCAAACCCAACTACTCTCGTGTTGAGAATCAAACCCTAAATTGATTTACTCAAATCCGTTTATACCTAACTCTCTCTGTGATAAAAACAATGGAATAATCGCAATACTATAGTTACGTCTAACCTAGCATTGGCATAATCACAATCAATTTACCAATTCAATTGTTAAAGTTGTTACAGAATTTAAAGATTTAATTCATGCATCAATAATATTTGGGCTACACTAGATCTTGAATTAAAGAATCTACTCACACATGATTAAAGAAACAAAAACAATAATAAATAATGAAAGCATAATTAAATAACAAAGGATGAAAAATAAATACCAAATCTTGAATAAAAATTAAAAGTAGAAAGCTTGAATCTCGAATTACAAAAACTTGGAAAAAAATAATGGAGAACTAGTTCTTAAGGAGAGAATAATAAAATAAAATAAGGCTTAATGAATAGCCAAGAAAACAAGGCTAAAAAGTATTTATATGAGCCTAAAAAGATAAGAAAAACGGCTAAGCCTTGGCGTACAAGAATCCCAGGAGGCACGAACGTGCCTCTTGCTAGGCACGGACGTGCCTCTAGGCGTAGCAAAATTCATTTAGCTTCTGTCTTCCAGGCACGGACGTGCCTGATTGCTGGGCACGGACGTGCCTGATTGCTGGGCACGGACGTGCCTGCTTTTTTCTCTAGGCATGGGCGTGTCTCCTTGTTAAGCACGGGCACAGACGTGCCTCTTTTGCTAGGCACGGACGTGCCTAGGGTCTTCCTTTGGAGCAGCTTCAAACATAGAGGCACGGACGTGCCTAATGGGGAGGCACGACCGTGCCTACCTCTAAAACGCCATTTTCTTTACTTTTCTTCAATCTCCAAACTTCATGGGCTTTGACTTACTTCGTGGATCTATAATTCATCCAAATTAGCTCCATTATTCCTGAAAATCATCAAAAGCAACAAAACTACTCATAAAAGCATCGGATTATCAAAACTAGAGCAAAATACGCCAAAACGGACTCAAATACTCAACTAAACATGCAAAACTAACTAAGAACAAGTCAAATAATATACACAAAACACAACATATCAGATTCAATTAGTTTTGTTGAATGCATTTGACTTTCTTTTGATTCAATAAGCTTTGTTTAATGCATTTAACTTTCATTTGATTCAAAAAGCTTTATTGGAATGTGGTTGACTTTTATTTTTTTTTGGGTAAATAGTATTTTATTACCAAAAGGAGTTACAAATAGCAGCAAAACATACGTCATATAACCCAAAGGCCTATAAACCCAAACACCAACGCCTAATCGGCACACAACCACCAGCCGAGAAGCAAAATTCAAAGGCCACCTTTTAGGAAGGGTTCAAAACAAATTTCTTCAAATAAAGTCCCTTCTGATCTCAGATTAGAGGAACTACTATCTAGGAGGGTTATTCCTGACCAAAGGAACAGGACAAAACATCAAAGCAGGCTACAAAATACCAACAATTCAAAGTATAGCCAATAACAACAAACACAAAACATCGACCAGCAGCAAATACAAAGCATATGGTAGCTAGCAGCATTACAAATAAAACCAGAAGCACCAATAAAGCCTGAAAAACAGGTTGAGAAGTAGGCTAAAAGAAAACGCCAAAGCGGGAGCACCACACAGAATATCAACAACTTGACAAAGAGCATGAGCAGCAACAACTTTCCAAATCAAAATAATAACACCACATGTAGCCCTGGCAGCCTAAAAGCAGGAGCAAGGTAAGCAGCAACTCCATCATAAAGCTAGGAAGCTAGCTTTAGAAACATAGCACCAGCATATAACAAAGACACTATCCTAAACCACAAATTAACAACATCCTTAAAACAGGAAACAATCAGCATACAGATTAGCAAAAAACAAGAGGTTGTTCATGAGTAGCCTAGAATCAACTAAACCAGTAGAAGCAACTGCAAACGAGGAAGCAACATAAAAAATAAACAACCAGCAAGCGGAACTAGTAGAGAAACAACCAAGCAACATTAGCACACATCATCACAACACTAGTAGCAGCCAGCTGTAGCTTTTCAAACTCTAGTAGACAGCAGTGAGCTTCTCTGAATCCTGGAACTTAGAGCATCAACAAAGCATGGTAACATCAACCTAAATAGACAGAAACCACTGCATTTTACTCTGAAAGACCAAGAATAGCAGCAAACAACCAAACAAAACAGCAACAAGCTACAAAACAACAGGTTTGTGAGACAACAACTGCAGCTTAATAGATTCCACTAGACAACAGTGGGCTTCCCTGAAACCAGGAGTTGAAAAAACTGCACTAGAGCACAATAACAGTAATCTGTAAGTAGCACCAGACCAGCAACAAAAACAAAGCAACCAATACAACCATCCTGAAATTCCTACACAAAACCGCAAAAGGACAATAGCTATAAAACGAGGTACAAACAGCAGCTAGAACTAGCATAAGAAGTAGCAGCAATGAAAAGCTTCTTCTTGTCAGTCTCCACACATCTACAAGCAATGTTGTACACAATATTCCTAACAACATAATCAACAGGTTCACAAATACCGTTGAACACAATATTATTTCTTTGAATTCATATGTTGTACACTGCTTCAGTAAGGAACATCATATGAAATCTGCTAGAAGATTTGGACCTCCTACAATTCTTAACTACCTACTCAATTTCCTGGCCGAAATCTTAAACAGGCTTCTGACAATGAAGTAGTTGCAACAATCTCTCCAAAATTCTACTAGAGTAACTATAGAGAAAAAACAGGTTTTGCAGACTCTCTATCTCTTACAAACACAAGGGACAAATAGGGTCACATATAAAATTCCAATTAAGAATTCTATCCTTAGTCAGAAGTCTATTCCAGTTTGTAAGCCACAGAATAAACACACTCCTTAGGGAAGCATTGTTGTTATATACAATTCTCCCCCAAGGAACTTTGGCAACCTGTTGTCTTAGCTTGTTATAGACCTTTATCCGCATCTTATTTTTTCCCATCACTGAGTTCCAACCCCCAATATCATCAATCATAATTCTATACTTCATTATTTTCCTTAAAACCCAAGAACCTTGTTGAGGTATATCAGCTACCCAGAAATCAACAGACCAGAAGTAATAGACATGCACCCACTTTACCCAAAGAGAA